GACAACATGCATGAAGAGGATGATGTGGACAAAATACTCATTTGCCTAATAATTCTGCACTCCCTGTAATCTTACATGTCAGTAGACAGAGCTGGCTGTCATCCCAGAAGTTAAAGTCTAAGTGTCGAAGCAAACTCTCGCACTGTCATGTTTTGGCAAAAAGCAGACCCAAAGAGCAGATTAAAATAATGTCTGGCAGGTTTAAAGTGTTTCTGTTTGACTTGTTTGTGGTTTGAAGGCAGTTTGTGGTAGAATTCACCATCATTACAAACTGGCATATGGGAACTCTGTTAGAGAGGAGACAAAGGATTAATTGGAGTTCATGACGAAGACAGTGATTAATAGTCTTACTTTTGTTAGGAGTGAGAGGAGCCTCGGAGGTAGTTATTGCACATGTAAGTCCTTCCTATGAGAGATTACAGAAAGCTGGTGTTAGAGCTGGTAAGTAGAACTGAAGGTTTCCACAGGCAACAGGTTTCCAGATATTCAAGGGTTCTGTGATGGTGTGGAGCAGGTAACTAGGAGAAGTAAGACAAGACTGGGTTAGAACAAGCAGGTACTTGCAAGTAACAGGTAACAGAGATGGCCTAATAGTCACCACATACTAACAACAATCTAGAAGAGAACTGTTGCAACTTCCAGCTTGATATACGCCACGACTAGGCAAGTGTAGGAAGGATTGTTTCATTTGAGAAACTCCACCCAGGAGCGGAGCAGCAGAGAGAAGCCAGCCCAGAAACTCCACCTGAGTTTTAAAGGCAAGGAGAAGTTAACATAAGAACATATTTCCAGCCAGCTGCCCTACAACACTCTCAAACCAAATGGAAAAAATGGCACTGCAGCACATCCACGAACTTTGGAGTGTCCTCAACCATACATATTGTATGTATGTGTGTGCGTCTCTTGTTTACTTAAGAGCTGTGAGAACTAGTATGTTTGTGCACTATGAAATTATTTTAATATTTGTCAATCATTTGACAATAAAACAAAAAGAAGCAAAAGGTTGCATATGCACTGTATGTGCAATACAAATGATCTAAATGTAAGAGTTTAAAAATGTTGTCTAAATGCAGAAGTTAAAGGCTTCAACACTGCCATGACATGCAGGAACTCAAACTGATGTGGTCATACTTTTAGTACATTTCCGTTTAGGTTTCTATTTTTACGGAACAAAGCAGAGATGTGGAGCTTTCAAAACCTGCTGTTCACCATCTGTGGTAAGTTGTTTAGATGAGTAAATACATAAACAGACAAAAGGTAGATTTAGATTAAATATAAACATCTGTTTTTGCAGTAACGGGCAGAATACCACACCTTGTCCATCTACAGCACTAACATTGCTACTGTGAATGCTAACATATCAAATTAAACAGTGAAATATGTGTAATACTTTCTTTGCAGTTGCTCTGAGGTGTTTGATCAATGCAGTAGGGGTGATCCATGTGACTGGATACCTGGAGAGTGAGGTTAACGTCTCCTGCTCCTATGATGAGGGTTACGAGTCTTATGAGAAGTATCTGTGTAAGAACAACTGTGGTGACAGTGATGTTCTTATTACAACTTCAAAACCAGTGAAAAACAAATACAGGATCCATGATGACAAAACAGCACGAATCTTCACAACAACCATCCTTCATTCTGTGGATGCTGGGAAATACTGGTGTGG